GGTGAGCAGAGGACTGGAATGCCTGTTCTAGCTCTGTGGTCTTAGATGAGCTATTTGCCTATGTAAAGTCTCAATGCCTCAGTCTTCCATCATTGCCATATGTAATTTTTGTGGCATTAGGGGAATGTAGATGTTGCTCCAGGGGATGGCCAGAGCTGCAGGCACCATGTTGTTCTGCTCAGACCTCTTGTGGTGGAGCAGGGGCTACTCTTGAAAAATGTAATCTCATTTCCCAACCCCAGGGTGCCCAGGATGCCCTTGGGAGACATGCAGAGAGCAGTAGATGAACTGTGCTGATAAAAGGTCCTGGGATGAGTTTTATTGTTTTGATGTTTTATTTTTGGGTTCTCTCTCCCTTGTGATATTTTGATGTTCCCCATTGCCCCTTCTGGCAGTGCAAGCCATTCTTTTGCTGATGGGATGTGTGGCATTGAGCCGCTTGAGAGGAACAGCTGGTCCCAAAGATATGTCTGTTATCCAAGATCTGTGACTATTAAATGTGGTACTTGGCTGCTAAATGCTTGAGCTCATGCACTGGCCCAGCCTTACTAAGTTACAGCAGAAGGGCCTGGAAGATGATCCAGTCTGTGGTGCAAGGATGTTCATCCATCTTTCTGGGCTCCCCATGGTCTTGAGGCACCCAGAATATAAATGGGAGTGTGCAAATTACATGGCTAGGAGTCCATATGCCATATGGAACAGTACCTCACCCGACCTACCCAATGTTACTGCCTGTAGACACAGTGGGGTTAGGTCACCAGGATCTGGCTCTTCGATTGCAAGATGCTCCTGTCTTCTTACCTGATGAGCTGCAGAGACGTGCAGCCATCTCAGAAGTGCAGAGCAGGAGCTGGCAGAGAAATGTGAGACGACAGTTCGCAGCAGGAAGCTGAGAACATCCTCCACTGTAACTGGGGCTGCAGAGCATCTGGGTGTGCAGAACACCTGAGACAGTGGGGAAAACCCTTCCTTAGCATGGAATAGAGGAGACAACGTACACAGAAGGGTCTGTAGTGAAGATGTGGATCCAGACATTTGCAAACCTGATCTCTAATTCTGCAGAGAGATGGAGTGACTAGAAGCACTCCCACCTCCTTTATTTCCTACATGATCAGACCTTTTCCCTAGTTCCTCTGGTATTGATCCAGTCTAGCTGTAGAGGCACATGAAGTACTAAGCCTTGGACAGCACAAAATACAGCTTGAGCAGAAAGGGAATGTCCCTGTCTCTGGACATGAAATGTGCTGTAAATGAAATGATGCCAACATGAAACCCTCCACAATGTTGCTCTCATTGCAGTCCTGTTGTGATGGGCAGAATGAGGGCTGTCTCTTCAGGCTGCGACTGGGTTGTCATCCTCGCCTGTAGCAGAGAGCCCAGCTCAGCTGTGGAGCGCACAGCAAGGCTTTGGCAATGTAGTCTGGTCATGGCTGGGGATTTGAGTTGGGCACGTGGGTCCACTTGGTCTCCTGTTTTGTCTTTCAGTAGTTACTGCAGTAGGTATTTGGGGAAGATGTCTAAGGAAGTAGCACCCAAATTGACGTGGCTGAAAATCCAGCACAGTGGAGTTGTTTTTTTTCTCCATCTGCGTGCACAGCCTAACTCTTGCCAGCTGCAATGAGAGCCCTTTTGTTAGAGACGATACAAGATAATCTGGCTTGGATTTGCTTCTCAGCCACACACTTCTCTGTGATTCATTTATGACGTTGAACAAGTTGTTCGTGTGCTTTTTCTTATCTTTAAAGGAGTGATAATGGTGATCTGATTCCACATGTTCCCTCAATGTGTTTGTTCATGTGCACTCTCAGGCCAGAACCTTATGGGGTGCATTGCCAACAGGGACTGCTGGACTTATTTGGTATGTTTATGTTAGACCTATTACAAATATTAATTTACATCACTTAGTGAGGCCCAAAGCCAGAGAAACAGGTGACCATTACAGACCTGTTATTCTGAAGAGGAAAGTCTGAGACCTGGATCACCCTGGCTTCCTTGTAGCTGACTTTCCACCAGCTAACTATTGATGTACTGCTGAAATTATGCCTCATGTTCATGGTGATGGGGACACTGAGGGGAGTGGATGATGTACTACTGGAGTTCCTATGCTTCTTTCTGATACTCTCACACACAGGCATACAAGCACTGGCACCCAATCAGGTTTATCAGCTCACTGCTAATCAACGCTTATTGTTTTCTTTTTGTTGTTCAAGACCTGCTCTGAATCAGTGAAGGCCAAAGCTGCCAAGTCTGCCTGGCTGCGAGATCTTTTCCTGCCCAACATCATGCTCTTCACAGACAAGAGATACTTCAGTGACAGTGAGTGGGACCGCCTGGAGCATTTTGCACCTCCGTTCGGCTTCATGGAGCTGAATTATTCACGTGAGTCCCTCAGGGCATGTCAGGATGGAACAAACTCCTGACAGGAGGGTTAGGCCAAGTAGCTGGAGGCTTGCAGCATCTCCCTGTCAAAGGCATCAGGCTAGGTGGATCTCATGATGGAAACTGTGGTGGTTTCCCTGTGTCGATCCTGAAGGCTCTTGATGCTAACCCTCCACCATGTTTTGCTTCACAGTGGTAAGGGAGGTCATGTCCCTGCTGCCCCGGAATCCCCACCAGCAGCTACTCCTGGCCAACAGCAACAGCAGCGTGCCAACTTGTATCAGCTGTGCTGTTGTGGGGAATGGAGGAATATTGAATAACTCTGGGATGGGCAGGGAGATTGACTCTCATGACTACGTCTTCCGGTAAGGCAAGCTTCCTTCTTAGAAGATACACAGCTAGCCTGTTCTGGCTAGCAGATAATTGTGGCTGGATGACTTCACCTCTTCTAGTATTGCACTGACTCCCAAGAGCCAAAGTGACTGATAGCAGGAGGAGGTGAAAAATCAAAAAGGAACTCGGAAGTTCCTAAACACACAGGAAGAGACTGGGTTCTCAGATGAGCCATAAAGAGCCGTCTCCAAAACAGAGTCTCTCCTGCAGATCAAGAGGTATAGCTCAAAATGGGCCTAATCCTCTCTTCCTCCAAACTAATGCTGTCTTTTCCTGTTATAAACATGGATGCAAGGGTTTTCAATGATCACCTGTTAACTTGGCTCCTCTGTTTGATTTCCTTGACCAGGGTGAGCGGGGCTGTAATCAAAGGTTACGAAAAAGATGTTGGAACAAAAACCTCCTTTTATGGATTCACAGCCTACTCCCTGGTGTCCTCTCTCCAGATCTTGGGACACAGAGGGTTCAGCAACATCCCAAGGGGAAAAGTAAGTCAAGTCCATGCTGTATGCATGCACGGCTTTGATGGGATGCTGTTAGTCTGTGGCCTTCAGTTCTGATCTTGCTGTGTATGGGGGTCAAAGGGGCTAACACTTTAGTACTAATTACCCTTAGTGAGGGAACCTGCATTTGGCTTTGCTTGGAGTGAGTATTTGCAGTGGCAAGCTGCGTCAGTCCTGCACCAGCCCTTTGGCATGTAGGAGTAGCTGCACATCACATGTTATCTCTATTCTGCTTCTGTGGGATAGTTAAAAGCTGCAGACCAAAGATGTGTGTCCAAGAAACTCAGCCTAGATGCCTGCTTGCTTTTTGTTTTTTAAAGGATGTGTCTCTTGTGCTGTTCATTAATGCTCACTTGTTTTCTTAGCATGTCAGATACATTCACTTCCTGGAGGGAGCTAGAGACTATGAGTGGCTGAAGGCTCTTCTGCTGAACAAGGACATCAGGAAAGGATTCTTAAATCACTATGGGTAAAACAAACTGGCCCCACCTCTACACCCTTCAGTTTGGAGCTCTCTGCTGTGCCCTCTCGCTCTCCACAGCCCTGCTGAAGTGCAGGCCAGGGAAAGATTAAAGCCTCCCTTCCCTTGCAGATTTATCTGGAGAAATATCTTATTCCCTCCCCAGCTCCCAGCACTGCTGTAACCAATACACCTCCTTCCCAGAAATAGTTGATTTCAGTGATGTGGGGCCAGAACTTGGAGAATGCTTTGTGGTCCTCTGGGATGAACACCTACTGTTGTCTGGTCTAGTGTCTGGACATGATGGCCTACTCATGGATGAAGGCCTGGTTTCACCAATTCTTGTCTATACACACACATGCTTTTGATATTCCCGTCTCCTGTTGTTGACTCTCCTCCCTGACCTCTTCCTCTGCAGTACACACAGATTATGGAGGCTTTGTTGTCATCTGGGAAATGTTGCAGAATAACTTAATAGTGTTTGTGGTTCTTCTCTTATCACTAAGTGTATCAGAGCTGATGCTTTCCAGTTGTGATGAAATATAGGAGCTTGTCCTGAGTCTCACCATTCCTATCCTTAGGCAGAGGCCCCGGGAGAGATTCAGTGAAGATTTCACAATGGACAAATACCTGGTGGTTCACCCTGATTTCCTCAGATACATGAAGAACAGGTAAGCTGGGGATTATGTGCTCCAATGGGCTTATTTTTTCTGGCCAGCACAATCTCTCTCTGTCTCTGGGCTCTCTCCTCCCAGCTCACTCCCTTGTAACTGCAGTTTAGCCACAGCAGCAGATTGGAGGTAAGCTTCATCAGTGTGCACTCAGTTAAAATTCTCTGTGGTGCTGCAGTGGGATGTTAGTGGTGGGTATGTGTCCAGCATCTGTGAGCTGGAGAAGCAACAGCTGTCAGACAGTTTGGCTTTCTGCATCCAAAAGAGGTCCTGAGTGTCAGCTTTAGATGCAGGAGGAGTGTTGCTAAAGTGCCAGAATAGTTTATCTAGTTCAGGACCAACCTTTCGTGTTCCCTGTTGCTTAGCTCTGTAACAGCCCTTCTCTGCTGAGATCCACTCTTGACTTGGGAGGTTGTTTGTGCCCTCAAACATGATAATAAAACTATTATCATGTTTGAGGGCACAAACTTATACTTCTTCAGTATCCCATTTGCCTGACCTGGCTGCACTTCTTTGCCTCTCTAATTCTTTTCACAAGTCTTCTGGACACTGTCACTGCAAGGTCTGCCAATCGTGAACCACATGTGACCAAGAGATGTAGGAAGAGGAGCTCCTGTTGTGCCCTGCTTTGGCTGTGTTTACCCTTTGGTCTCCTTGAGAGCCGAGTTATGCCTTCTCTGGGAGAAGGCAAACGCAGTGCCAGATGGCTTACACATTCTGCTGTCTCCCCTCTGTCTTGGGTCCTTTCCAAGGCCAAGAAGGCTCAAATGCTATTTTTTTCCTGGTGTGGACTCCTACCTTCCTAACAACTGCTGGCATAAAACACTGCAGCTCCTAGCAGGTTTTGTGACCCTCCTCTGCACCTTTCCTATGTCTCGTTTCACTCTGAAATGTGGATGTATGTATCCCTGCAGGATATAGCAGGGAGCTTCAAAGCCACTTCTGCACTGCAAGGTGAAGGACAGATTTAAGAGCAGGCTTTAACTTACTCGATCCTTTAATGCACCCCCTCTTTATCCTCACTGCCTCAAGACCTACCACTTCCATAAAGCTGGGGCAGAGCTGGGCTTAGGTTGCAGTGCAAGTGATGGAGGATTCTGGGCTGGCCACGTGCTTTACTGAGCACACAGCGGTACCCAGATGTGTGGGCATACTCATGACTTATCTGAAATGCCTTGTATGGCCACAAACTGCTGCGAGGAAGGAAGATGCCACAAGTGTTGTGCCCAGCTTGAACCACCACACCCAGCAACTGCTCTGTGCTTTCTTCTCTCCTGCTGCAGGTTTTTAAAATCTAAAACTCTGGAAAAGCCCTACTGGAGGATTTACAGGCCCACAACAGGTGCCTTCCTGCTGCTGACTGCCCTCCATCTCTGTGACCAGGTAAGGGCATGATGATTCTTGCACACACACTGTCTGGAAGGTGGATAGGATAACAGGGCAGAGCAGGGGTGGCTCCAACCCTGCCTAACGACTGCCTTGAGGGTGTATGGGTCCTTGTCAGCTGTGAGAGAGCAGATTGAGGACAAGAGAACCAGCCCCAAAATACTTCACATAGTGGTTGTGAAGCTTGCTGTGGCCTGAGAACCATTCTGACTCCCAGGGAGGCAGTGAGAGGAGAGAAGGCTCTCTGGAGCCAATGTTCACAGTCTGGTCCTTCTGGACCGCCATGCAGGGTCACTCAGAGGAGCCCTGGCTGGCATCCCTGTCCTGTGCTCCCTCCCCATTTGGGAACTGTGCCCTGTGTTTCATTTGGTTCCTTCTGACCTTGGTACCTCTCCCCAGTGAGCCCTCTGTCTGTCCCAGGTGAGTGCCTACGGCTACATCACGGAGGGTCACAAGAAGTACTCGGATCACTACTATGACAAGGACTGGAAACGTCTGATTTTCTACACTAACCATGACTTCAACCTGGAGAAGCAGGTGTGGAAAAAGCTTCATGATGAGAATATCATGAAGCTTTACCAGAGATCCTGATTGTGTGGCAAGGGCCATTGCCTGGGAAATCTCACCACCACCTCACTGGGAACGGAAGAGGACCACCGGAGTCAAGGTTAGCTCTAGACTTCCAGGCACATTTCATTCCCACAAAGATATTTCCATTCTTCAGCACCTCTATTTTTCTCACATTTCTGCAAATGTGCAAATGCTACAGACCAAGAGAACAACAGCAAGAAAATGCAGCATGCCAATGAAGAGGTCCCATCTGTCTATGCTGCAAGACTGTTGCTGATGGTTGTAGGCACTGGTATTGGGAGAGAAGAATCCAGGATGGATCTAGATAGCATGTGGTCCAGCATCCTGCATCTTGATCCAGGTTTTCTCCCTTTGGAAGGAGATGCCCCTCAGGCTGGAGCTACTTCTGTTCTGGGTGGATCCTCTCCATTAGTCTAAGCAAGCTCCTTCTGCAGCCAGTGGATCGAGGTGGACACAGATCCTGTCTCAGGTTGACTTAATTCCTGGAGGTGCTGCTCCCTGCAGATAAAAAGGATGGACTGGACACTTCCAGGTGACTAATTTGAGAGGATGTTTGTCACTTCTGCTTCCCATTGTGTCCTCATCATGACACCTCTGAAAGAGCACCACTGTCAGCTCAAGGGCAGGTAAATGTTCTCTGTGGTGCAGCAGGCATGCTGGACTTGGTGCCTCTTGCTATGGTGCTCTCCTGGCTGCAGGACACGTGAATGTTGTGTCGTGGTCCTGGTGTGCCAAGTCCCTGCTTATCTGGGCTTTGGCACGCTTGGCTCCCAGCTGTGCCAGGAGGGCTGTGTTTGCCCTTTTCCCAGGGGAGGTAGGAGCTCTCCAAGTCCAGGGATGGATGCTGACCAGCCTTGCTGTTGGCTGGAGTGCCTGTCCACCATCGTGTTGAGAGGGGCTTGGTTGCAGCCAGCAAGCCTGCAGTGTATTGGCCTTCTGAAAGGGGTTTTGTGAGCAAAATAAACGGCACTACTTTGGCCAAGCTCATTTTTCACTGCAGCCTTGTGGGGTGTGGTTATTTAGTGTGCGTCCAAAGCAGTTGCTTAAAGGCTGAGGTAGTGGATGATGAAGCCAGGAAAGGGCAGGACTGAGTGTTAATGAGCACCTCCATCTGTAGGTGCTCTGCAGCTTGTGTGGACATACCTGAGCATCCCCTGCTTGTTGACCTTGCTATTGCTATTGTAGGATGGAGATCAGAGCTGGCCAAACACCTCCCTGAGGAAGTGGGTAAACACCTGGCAAGTTTGTTCTTGTCCCAGCAACTGCTCTCTGACTATATCAGATGCTGGTGGCAAATGCATGAAGGGATGGATGTTGTTTTCCCCCATGACACTGTGCAGATGAAAAGCCACTTCCAGTGTGCAGGCAGATCCAGTGCATCTCCCCAGGCTCATCAGGCTCTGGACCCGGGGCTCAGCTGCCCACTGACTGGTCCCAGTGGATGTGCTCTGGCTACAAGCAGTTTTCCTTTTGTGCAGCATTTCTGTTGGGGGCAGTAGCATCTCCAGGGACCCCCTGGGCTCTGAGGGAGGCATTTCAGTGCAGATTGTCAGCAGGGTTTGTCAGGCCTGATTTCCTTTGTCCCTTTTTTCCTTGTGCTGCAGAGAGGCCAATCAGTTTCTCATGTCTCCCTAAGCTTGTTTGCAAAGGACAACCCCCCACATTAATAATCTGAATGAAGAATTCAGCTTACTTGGGAGAGGGTGTAGCCTGTGTTTGCGCTGCTTTGCCTATACAAGCCCCACAGTGTCCGTGGGAGCAGGGTGTTATCCAAAATGCACTGTTTCTCTGTTGAGAATGATATATGTAGCCCTAGACCATGTATGTGAACACCAGACCCATGAGGAGCCACAGGCTGTGGAGCAGACCAGAAGTTCTTCCTGAGCAGTGAATGGCTTCCTTGTGAAGGGGGAGCCTGATGGTGGCTAGTCACCCTCCAGGGCTGAGAGGACAAACTCCTGCACCCAGGAGCTCAGGACACCACTGGGTGTCTCAGCCCCTTGTGGTGGCTGTGCATGGCTGATGTCCCTGGGCCTTGCAGGCTCTCCCTGCCTGGCACTCGTCTGGCTGGGCTCTCGGTGGGCAGCGAGGCAGCTTTATTCGTTGCCCATGTGTCGGGGCTGTACCAAATTCCTGCGGGTTGCTTAGTGACCAGCTCCACATGGGTATTCTTCCTGCCTGAATAGGGCTTTTCTCTTCCCTAGAAGTTGGAAGAAGTTTCTCTTAGACCCTTCCCTTCCCCCTCCTTATCTTTTGTTTCCCTCTCCACTGGGAAGCGGGATGGGGCTGAGTCCTGCCAAGCAAGGGAATCATGGTAGGCAAAGAGGCTTTGGGGATGGGCTGGCAGGCCCCAGCCCATGCTTTCCCCCAACTCCTCTGTGTGGCTCAGGCTTCCTGAAATCAAGGGAAGGAAACTTCCCAGGAGGCTTTTCCTCACCAGCAGACCCTGTTCCCTCCAGGCTGTCCTCTCAGCACAGCTGACATAGTTTGATGTTATCAGGGACAACTTTGGCTGGAGAAAAGCCTTTGCTGTGGTCTGGAGTTTCCCAGTAAGCTCTAAACTATGTCTTCTCTGGCTCAAGAAAAGTGGCTCTGACCAGACAGTCCCCTTCACCACCTCATTTTGCTCCTGTACCCCTTGCAGCAAGATATCCTGGCCCACTGTGGGCTGGCCAAGGAACACACAGGGACACATCCCCTGGAGCACAAGTCCAGCTGTGTCTCACCAGAGCCACCTGCCTTTGTGGCATCAGGTCTGGAGTGACCACAGAGAGTCGAGGGGTTTTGCAAGGTGTCATTTCCCAGCCAACACCTAGCCTGGCACAAACTAGTGTAACAAAATCTGTGGAGGGCAGCTACAGCTGGAGCACCCTTGGTGAGCGCTGGAATTCAGGGCTTGGGTGAGTCCCCAAGATAGGTGTGTGTCCCAGGGCAAAAGCAGTGTTGCTGGGTTGTGCTGGAGTAGTCCCAGCCTCCCCAGCATGGCTCAGCAGTTGGTGCCATGGTGCAGGGCCACCCCAAATGTCCCTGTCCTTGTGGCTGGCAGGCCAGCAGCATTGTCCCAGTGCCACCAGGTGGCAGCTCCTGTTCAGGGACATGTCAGCATTCTGTTGTCTCTGGCACATCCAGGTTTGGCACAGACCGTGCTGTGCACAGCCCTGCAGCTGCCCATGCAGCACCAGACTTTTGTTCCCCGGTGTCCCTCACTTTGTAATGCCTGCCTGCCGTTGGGTTTATGGCCCAGGAGCTCCCTGGGGTATGTAGGGACATGCATAGAAGAGGTTTGGTACCTGCGAGCACGAGCGTCTTTCCCTGCTGCCAGCCAGGAGCTCCAGGGTCTGCCAGATTTAAGCAGAGCTGTCTGATTTGAGGAAGAAATATACAACTGTGCTTCAGTGTGCCTGGAACCTGCTGTAGAGTCAGCCCTGCTCTTTGCAAAGCTGTTGGTGAGTACCATAAGCCGTTAGTACAGCTGTGCCTGACTCCTCCCTGGATTCCCCAGGACTTAAGAGCTTCTAAATATTCCCTGCCAGGTTGCAGGAAACAAATCCACTTGTTACCCAGGAGCTCTCGCAATGCCACCTTCCTGGTAGGACTTCGAATCTTTTGTTTGGTTTCTACCTTTTCCCTTTTTGTGGTGTGACCGCTCGCCTGCCTAGCAGAAGCACGGACCGTGTCCCGCTGTGTGTTTGCAGGCACGTAGCTCCTTGGCTGGGGCCAAAGCAGGAGGAAGCAAATGGGGACTTGCTGGGCTGGGGGATAAGGATGCACCTTGGGGACATGTGGGCAGTGCAGAGCCCATCTCGTCCCCACTCCTGGTCAGCGCAGGTCAGCTTGAAAGGCTCTGGAGAGTAGGGTTAGGCTGACCAGGAGTGGGGATGAGATGGGCTCTGGGTGTCTGCTAGCACTGGCAGCCAAGGCCAAACCCACCAGGTGCCAGAGGGCTGCCCTCTGCCACACACAGCTCCAAGGCAGCCTGGTGCTACGGTGGCACATCCAGATTTTCATTCCTGTCTCTCTTGTTCCCAGGCAAGAAACTGAGACACAGAGCAGGCAGAGCTGGACACCAGTGCCTGGCTTCCCAGCACGGAGCAGGTGCTTCTTCTGGATGTGTCACTCTCAAGCAGCTGTGGTTGACCAAGTGCCATGGGAGTGTAGCAGAGGCGTGTGCTGGCTCCAGGTCAGCACAAAAACCTCTATGCTGGTGACTTACCAGATGCTATTTATGTTCCCCAAGTGGAGAAAGGTTTGGGGCAGGCCCTCAGTGCGCAGGGGTGGGGTGGCTCACCCTCCTCACCTCTTCTGTGTGGACCTTTTCTCTGTATTGGGGATGTGGCAGCAGGGAAATCCAGTCAGACCAGAAAAACTATTGATAATAGGGGAGGGAGAACAAGATAAAGGAGCAGCCCATGGCTTTGTTGTGCAAAAAGCACCAGGCAGCCCTGATCGCCAGGTGTGGGGCAGGGCCCTGCAGGCAAACAGCTCCTTGGGGGTGCAGCAGCCCCTGGTTCCCACGCCAGCGGGCTGTGGTAGTTTGGGCTTCTCTGCCAGACTGCGCAGCAGGACCCTGGGTGCTGCAGGGCTTTCCCACCTTGGCCTGACCCAGCCCTCAGGGTGGTAAATGCTGGAAAGACACTTGCTGAGTCCTGAGGACATCGCAAGGCTCCTTCGGTCCCTCCTGCAGCAGCCGTGCAGTGTCAGGTGGGACCACACAGACGGACAAGGGGCTGGCACCCACCCACACTTGGAGACTGTGTTCACTCTCCCCAGCTGTGTGCGTGTTGGACAGAGCCTGGGCCATGTGGTTTTGAGGCTCCCATGTTTCAGCAGACCTCAGGGACTGTTCATGCTGCTAGGAACGGGGCAGGATTAGTGCACATCTGCTCTGCCTGGTCCAGAGCTGGCAAGAAAGAGGAAGGCAGCAGTTTGTGTTGTCACCGATTTCTCAAAGATGTTTCTCAGCTCTGTACTCCTCCAGGGCATAGCCCAGAGCCTCACAG